TTCACATATGTAATTCATGTATTATAGGAACTATTATCTATAAATAATTCTACGTATCGCTAGACTATATCGGTTTTACTCCATATCGGCTTGTTGCTGTCAGCGTCACTCCAGAGGTGTTGTACTAAGGCTAATATGCCAAAGCTCTGTTAGTGTTATTATTATATCATTATGTTTTATTTGGCACTGTATGAATTTAAAGGGGAAGTTTGAATATAGGAAACTGGGGGTAGTACATATTTTTGGTGAATAGAACCACTGCAGAGAGAATTCTTCTAAACCCGACCACCTGCAGATGGGCATACCATTTAATTTTCACCTTTCTAGAGCTACCCAAGAACATTCAAGAAACTTATCTCACAGACTTACGGCCTATAGATTGTTTCAGCTATCAGTACTTACTGCTGTTTTGGCTATCTTCTTGGGATAGGTAACTGTCAAAGTGATTTATTACTGGATTGGAATAAGGCCTTTCTGGAAACTTGCAGGAAGAGACACCAGGTACCATAAGGAAACGATTACCAAGCCATCTTTTACCAAAAGCGAACACCTCATACACCTTACAACTTCTGGTGATTATTATAATACCAACCGGATGATCATCGCGTCATGATACCTTTTCTGAAAATCACAATCTTAATGCCCACTGGATCAGCATGTGAAATGGCTTCTCATGAAAAACAGCGCATATACAGGTTATGGCGCCAGATATCATATTAATTCTATTCAACTGCCCTTACATGGGGTTGAACTGGTATCTTGTGATTTGACCTGTGAAGTGTTAACCACTATATTACAGACCCACAAGTCACTACTTATAGAACATATATATAAGATTTATAATATAATTAGTAGTTAGCTATTTTTTATCTTTTTTCTTCCTACTTGGGTTTTCAAAGGTTTGTATATGTCAACTTTATTTGTAATAAACTAGAATTAATCTACTTACTTTGTATATTAGAGATCATTAATATAATAATGAAAAAATGAAAGTTTAATAAATATCTCATATTTAATGTCCATTTGTAAAATATATATATATATTATTTAAAAATTGAAATTTTTTTAAAAAATAAATTATTTAATTTTAAAATTTATAATTATTTTTTAAGTTATTTTTATTTTTTTTATTAAATATAATTTTTTTTTATTTTTATAAAATTTTATTTAATTTAATTTAATTTTATATTTTTAATTTTTAACCACAATCAGACTGGTATTATATATTTATTAAATCATAGAGAACCATTATACATACGAAAATACATGCAAAGTACAAATTTCCTCAACCCAGCTTACCCATCTTAAGTCTAAGTCTTTAGATACGATTTATGGGAGTGATATGTTGCTAGCCTAATGGTTAGGATTAAGATCCAATTGTACTATAAGGATTACAGCCTACAAATCACCTCTATAGTTACGACCATAAATTCAAATTGTGTTGTCCCCCTTTTGCAGAAACTACGCAAGGGGCAAGGAATAAAAAAAGAAATAAGAGTAGAAAAAACAGCACAAATGTGTACAAATAAAACAATATATAAAAAAAAGGAATAAAAGCTATCATCTATTCTATCTATTATTGAAATAGTATTTTAGTGGACAAAATCCAAATCCCTTATAAATACTCACTTGTCACCACCTGTAGTCAGTTAAACTGTTCAATTTCCATCGAAGCAAGTGATATCCAAGAACGTTTAAGGACACTTTCTGAAGAGTATTTCTTGAAACTTTATGCTTGAAGACTTCTAATCAAAAAGAATATTGGTTTTCTATTATTGATTTCTCTCCCAAGTCATGTTTTTCTGAAATTATTGCTTCACTCAACCAGTGAATAATTTCAAGATCCCTTTCTCCAACCATTTTTAGGATAGACATCAGTGCTTTAATTTGTTATCAAATTGGAATAGGATTTGAATCTTGTGATTACTCTCAGTCCTCTAGGTAAAATAGAGAAAAAAAAGAGGCAAATAAAAGGGAAAAACAAAAAAGGGAATTGTTCCTTTTTCACTCACAACTTCAACCTTCACCCAGAACTCCCTTACTATTCTTTTGACTAGAAAACTATTCAACTCTTTCTAAAACCAATTACATTATCGATTTTGATATTATACGACTTGAAACACGTGGAAGGATATGTCTTTTTTACTTTTTCTGTAACTAATGAAATCAACCAATCCATGATCTTAACTAATCATCTTGCAGGAAGTCTAATGTAACTAAAAATTCAGGATCAAACTGAGGTAGGCAAAATTCTCCAGAAAAATCAAAAAAAAGAAAACATGTTTGAGAGAAAAGAAGTGGGAAGCCAGAAAGATGATATAAAGGCTAAAGGCTTTTTTTTCTTTATTTTTCTGGGCTTTTGAACTTTCTGGGAGTCTTTGGAGAATACTTTTTCTTGTCAGTTTTCTTCCTAGAAAGGTGTTCTTGCCATAAATCTTTTGAATATGTTTCTTGTATTTAGTTGCAAAAATATGCAAGAAAGTATTTGAAAAAGAAAAGGAAAACAAGTGGTAGCTACTGCTTGCTCTGCTAATTAGAGAACCAGTGTTGTTAAGGAAAGTGTATAGACTTTATTATCAAAAAGATATAAAATCTTTTAAGAACGTCTGTTTTTTGGGTTGGTAAATGAATTAGTGGAAAGAGTTTTAATTTTATATTTTTAATTATATAAAAATTTTTAATTAATAATTAATTAAAAAATTTTTTTTAAAAAAATAAAATAATAATAATATTTCAATTTAATAACAAGTTATTATTATTTAAAAAAAAATTCTTTTTTACAATACTCCAATTTGTAAAAAAAATTTTTTTTTGATAATAATATGAATAGTAAATAATAAATAGTCAGCAAGAACTTTTTACTGAGAAAGAAGTATATCTTTGTTTACTACAAGATGCAAGGAGTCAATTAACTCTTTATAGAAGAATAGATGCTTTAGAGAGAGTAAAAATTTCTTTAAACAAATTTTTTGATTTATCAAATAATACATATATAAACAATCTTCAAATTAAAAAAAAATCTTTTTATTTATATCTACATACTTATCCTTCTCAAAACATATTACATACTTTTTTTTCTTAAATATCTACATAAATATCAAAAGATATTATTTTATTTTTTCAAAGTTTTTGTTTTCTGCTAATGATAACTAGTACCAGATTATTTATAATATTTTGATTAGTTTTCAATTCTCATTTATTTTTCTATTCATAAAATCAAATCCAACTTATTTCTATCAAAAGATTAATATTTACAATATATCAATAATACTTTATATTACAATATTAATAATAAAAATATCAAAACAACTATATATATCATCAAAACTATTACAAATTACAAATATAGTCAAATTGGATAAGTACATAACCAATATTTTGTATAGGTTTCAGCTATATAACCTATTAATTTTTTATATTAATATTTTAATTTATCCAATTATATCTACCATTACTATTATATTTATATTATTGTTAACAATGAAATAATATACTGAAGAAATAATCAGACTGATTGTTGAAACAAATTATATATTTTTTTATATTTACTTTCTTCTATAATCTTATTTTTTTTTATATATCTTTTTCACAAATTTGAAACTCTTAATTTTTTTTTTTTCTAAGTAAATAGTTTTTTTCTTTTTTTCTCTTGTAATAGGTTTTTTTTAGAAATATATCTACTATATAGATGATAGGCTAATATGCATAGTAATATATGTTAATATTTAAAAATTAATTATATATTGATAAAATTCATATTCAATTAATAAAATCATAAGAAAAGTCTTACTTTAACTTTTTTTAAAAAAAAAAGTTATTATTATTATTAATTATTTTTTTTAAAAAAAATTAAACAATAAATTATATAATATAAAACTATTTTAATAATAATAAATATTGTTATAAATATATTTTAAATAATTTTGATTAACAATAAAATAATAGAAATCAAATGGTTTATTTTGTTACAAATAATAGTAAAGGATATATTTTAATAAATTAAAGATTAGTTTTAAAAAATTTTTATTTATTAATATAAAGTTTATTTTTTTATTTTTTAAAATTACAAATAAATGGTGAAGTAATAAATAAGAATGTAGATTGTCAATAAATAACTGTAAATTATTTTTTTTTGTTTTCTAGAATTATATTTAAAGAGTTATAAATTTCAAGTGTTAAATAATTAATATCACTTAATAATAATTTAATTAGTCTATTTTCTTGTAATGAGTAATTAGATCATGTAAATAATATAATAGTTTTGGTACTAAAAATTCAAAAATTCATATACAAATCCATAGACTTTCTGCATGTTTGGCTCTAATATAATAATCTTATTGTATTATTGTATTTGGATTAAAGGTTAATAAATACTTTTAGGTTGCAATTTGATTAGAAAACAAATATCTTAAATTAACTATAATAGTAAAAATATAATAATAAAAAAATTTATGTAACGAAGATAAAATAAAGATTTATTGTAACAAGTAATAATTTCGAGCAAAAATTATTCAATATTAAATTGGTTTTAAAAAAATTATGTGATAGAAGTTTTCAGAATCATAGCCACAATAATTCATTTATCATAAACACGGCGTGTTATGATTTTAATAACAATTATGTGATAGTTAATGTTTAATGTAAAAATACAAATATTTTAAATAATATTAAGAGATAAAATAATGAGGCTCGACAAATCTTTTTGCATAACCAGTAAAATAAACGTAGTGATATGGTCTGTGCACCTCGCCTCACAGCAAATTACGCAGCCAGGTGGCACGGCATCGTGCACTATAACAATGATCGTTACCCCACCTCTCAACAATGTATAATTATCAAGTCTGTCTTCGTGAAACAACCTACTTCTTAAATTTAGCATGAAATTAACATTTTGTATTTTTTTACTCTTTAAAATTAAACATTTTTGGGCATAAATCAAACATTTAAAATCAAAATACATTCTGAGGAATTAAATTACAATCAAAATACAAATTAAATAACTAATAACCATCTCTATCAGGTGCCCAGTAGAATCCTGCCATCAATACTAAATAGCAGAGAACCAAGATTGATCCCTTAAAGTAATTCGATTTTCCTTCGATGTAGGTGTATGTTAACATGCACACTGAGAAGATCACTGCAAACATATCCCATCTAGGAAATACCAAACTTTAAGGATACATAGAAATGTTAATCTCAACAGTTTGTTTCAGTTACATCAAACTATTATAGTGAGTGTTAAATGACTTACGTGAAAGTATGACCTTTCAGTTCATGACCCTTTTTACCGCGATTGTACCAACCGGAAAATGCAACCATCGCAGGAATTTGTAAGAGGCATACTTGCAAAGCATATGCGGAACCAATTTCCAGACTTTACATTCCACAGTGAAAATGGATTTTTTATCAGAGGATGAAAGTTATAACTGAATTACATGAAATTGGGAAATTATTATTACCTTAAGGCGATATTGTTATTTATTGCAAATGAAATTGCATTCACAAACTCGGTTACTGTGGGTACCAATGCAATCAACGTTAAGCCTGTGAATTTTTCGGTCATCCCAGACTTGCTTACAAATTCGTCTATGTTCTCCACCAGGATTTCTGTAATATAAAAAAAAATTTGTCAAGAATAATCAAAATAATTGAAAATAAAGCCATAATGACATACCGGCTATGAGGGAATAAAGTGCAGTGAAGGAAAGTAGGACAATTCCACTTTTAACTTTACCCCAATTTGGTGAATCATGCCCAGTAATTTCTTCCTCCTCCTCCTCTTCATATTCGTCATCGTGACCATGTGACCCGAGAGTTTCTGCTGCAATATGAAGATTTTGTTCATGAGATAGCGATGTTTGATTATCATTTGGATTTGTCTCGGGCACCGCTAATGAACGCTGTGAATTTATGGATGCTGGCGGATGTTGAGCAGTTGGACTGGTAGGGGAATGAGGTAATAATTGTTGCAGGATATTTGGAGGAACAAGCCGTTTGGGAATAAGATTACTAAGATTTCGTGTTTGTTCGTGCTCCGCAGCATGATGCGTTTGCCACACCAAAGCCGCATGAGTACGCAAAGTAAACCATAGGCCAATGAAATACGACTACAAGTCAAATATGAGGATTCAGGTTAAACGATGAACTAAAAATAATTTTTTTATCACTATCACAAGTTGGATTCATACCAAGATTAAGACTACAGCGCTAAAGTACATCAAGGGTGTGACATAATCCTCATATAATTTATTGGTCACTGGATCAACCGGCGAATGCACGCAAGATATGCAGGAAGTTTCGGAGTCGTCTACACATGAAATTGGTCGACATTTCATATTGTACTAAATAAATCGTCAAATGCAAATTATCAAATTATTTCCTTGAAATCGATTCCATTAAAACGTCCGAATGTTTGAATGAAAATTACCGATGCATATGTTTGATAGAATAAGGTGGGAGTAAAGGCTCCGATGATCGCCATAATAAGCATAGTTGAAGTCACACCTAGGAAAGAGAAACAAATTTTTTTTTAAAAAAAAAGTCACTTGGCTTCTTAAACTCCACGAAATGAAATTATCAGGGTTTTTTCAAACCTGCACTCTTTGAGTTAAATCTCTGTTCCTTGCGTTTCATTCCGCCACTTATCATACTCAGTC